CCAATCCTGAAGTTCCCACCTCCCTAGCCGGGAGGTGAGGGCAGGGGAACCTCTGGGATATCATGTAAGATAGCAAGTTTTCTTATTTATCAAGTCAAGTTTACTTGGGTTTAAGATTTTTTGTTAACTTGCACAAGCCAAAAGTGTCTCAGTGATACAGTGATGATTCATACATTATGGGGCATTTACAAAATTATTCATATGCAAAGAAAGATGGGCAGCCAGGGACTAGATTATAATAGGTGTTATTTGTCTGTTCTATATCCCTTATTTTATGAAACCATCTCCTCTCCCATTTTGCAGTAATCCTGCTCAATCTATGTGATTCAGGAGAGGGATGCTGATTTCTCCCTGCCTCACTATTTTGATTGGTTCTCATGAGGTGGGCCTGATAAGTCAGAGTACTCTGTTTTCCTGTTTATAGCAATTGTTTCAGGGCTGGGCAAATGATTTAAACAGCCAAACAGCATGCTGGTGGAATTCAATTTTTACTGTAGTTATTAGGATAAATAAACTATCTTTCTCTGGAGTTATAAACTCTTGTCTCAAGGAGGTCTACAGCTGATAGTATCCATCCTTCCCCGTAGAGAGAGCCTATGTAAGAAGTATTTAATACAGAGGAAAGGGAGCCAGGGGACGTATAGAGACTTTTGCCCACCTAGTTCCATTTGTGCCCGAAACCTACCCCTGGACGCTATTCAATAATTTCCTCCTTTATTTTGCTTAAACTAGTTTGAGTTCGATTTCTATCTTTTTCATCTTAGAAGATTCTGGATAATATACCTGGGTTCCAATGTCTGCTGTGCCACTTAAGTGACTTTGGGCAAGTTACTTGACTTCTGTGAGCTTTAGTTTCCTTGTAGGAAAACTGACATCTCCTAGGTGGCAATTTAAATACTTGCCACAACACGGGCACATGGCAAGCACTCAATAAGCGGAAGATGGTCACTTGCTGTGTTTTCTCAGATACCCAGCTGTGTGCCTTGCTCTGCACTCCACAAGAAACCAGAAGTTTCTTCTGTTCTTTACGAGGCAGTTTTCAGAAGCCAAACTTTCCCAACCCAGCTTCATCTGGTCACTGGAAGCCCAGACTTGCCCTCCACATGAGCAGGGAAGAACAGAGCACTGAGTCTGATCAAACATTGAAGCACCTGGAGTATGTGTCTGGCTGCTCCTGAGAGGGGCATGAGCAGTAGAAACCCTATTTTGGGTCTGAGAAAGGGAAGGGGAACCCAAGTGAACGGTACTTTTTGCCTGAAAGAAGAGAGAAGAGCTCGGTTTGGCTAGAGACCACACCTACAGCAGGTAAGCAGGGGGCGGGAGCAAAGCAAGAGACTTCGGGTTTGTAGATAGTTGCATGCGGGTGCTGCAGTAGGGGATAAAATGCATGCAATGCGTGTGCTTTTTTGAATAGAAACTTTTAAACCTCCAAGCAAACAATGATTTTGCATATTGCTTATTTAGATGACTCTAAAAATCTTGCCTGGTTGAGGCTTTAAATCTGCTAATCAAGTCTCTTTTCTGACTCAGGGGCAGGTGGGGTTGATGTCATTCACACCTGCTTCTCAAATGTACACAGAACAGAATATTTCTGGATAATCTTTTGTTTCCTGTATGGATAGTGTCCCCGAAGCAGCAACTGTGGAGATGTTTTCAGGTACAAGTAGCATAAACCCCAAACTAGTTTTAACAAAAAGAAAGCGTATTCATTTACTTACATAACCGAGGAAGGC